TATTCCAACACCTCCTTCAGTGGTTGTCTGAAACGGTGGATAATACCAAACTTTATTGATACTATGTTTTTTTCCCATACTTACCTGTGATAAAGTTTAATTTATAAATTAGGGACAATAAAAAGTTGTTAGTATTACCTGATGATTCAGCTAGAACAAGTGAAACAGTATGCTGTAATAAAAGTTACATGAATGTGTTTTCTCTCAGAATGTCTTAGTCTTAGACTTACCTATTTTTGGACCACAGTTGACTATTGTAAATGGAAAATGGAAAGTAACGCCACAGACAAGGAGGAGCTGTAATAAATTCCTATCACTAACCTAGAAAAAACACCACCACTGATTTTTTTCTATTAGACTGAAAATAGAAAGAATATGATGGAATCAGGGATTATAAAGCTACTTTGAGGGACCAGCAGTTGGCGTAATGGCTATGTCGCTGGACTCCCATGTAGTCAATTGTGGTTTGAATCCCGAACCTGGTGGCTTAAATTCACACCGGGTGTGTGTGTGCATGCATGCTCAAGATCCTGAGAGGAAAATGGAGGAGCAGGGATTGTGGCATGGCCATCCCCCTGGGGGGTGATTTCTTGGGGTTTTTTTTTTTTTTTGGTCTCTCTCTTTTCTCTCTGGCAAGTGCCTGCGCCCCATAGCAAAAAACTCTCCAAATTAAAAAAAAAAGCTTTTTCGATAACATAAAGTTATCATGTATGATAATGGGTTGGACTTCATTGGTTGCTCCTCCCTAAGAGAAGTGGTGAAATTCAGCTTATCAGAAAAATCAACGTTGTGGAAGGTTACCAGTTAAGAGATCATAAACTAAACCTCTGTTGAGCAGAATAGGTGTGGGGACAAGGTGTGCACTTGTGAGAGGGAAATAGGGGCTGAAATGGAAATCACAGTTGGTGCTGCTTCTGCTGTCTTCCCGCTTAGCCCTGCTGCAGTAGTGATGCAGAGACACCTGGCATGGATCACAAAACTGAGCATGAAGACGTGGCTGGGGAACATCTGGGTCACACTCACTTTTCAGGAGATGAGGCAAGTTCCGCCTATTCCAGCAGTCTCTGTGTCCAAGAGATGGCTCCATTAGGGTCTGATTGAGGCATGGAATTTCAGTGACTACAGCTTGGGACTGGCGCAAGACTCTCTGAGGGCTCTAAGTCTTTCCTAGAATAGCACCAGTATAAATGGTGCAGAAAAAATTTCAGCCATTTCTCTATTGTATTAATAATTGTTCCACATTCTTTTTTTGAGAGAGAGAGATTTTAAAATATTTTTTATATTTAATCACATGTATCTTTACAGTATATAACATTTCTTTTTCCAGCATGATTACCATGCATATCAGTCAAAACAAAGATATTACTATCCACATCAGCAGCAGCAAATAGCTTTGCATTATTTTTCAGATTATTAATTTTTTTTAAACATTCACTTGCTATACATCATTTGGCTTATAAAGAGAATTTACTTATATGAAATACTTCTCAGACCAGTCCATGTACATCAATATGTATAGTATTAATAATGGCCACACTGCAATTCCTTCTCCTCCATTTTCTTGGGGTTTTGGACACACACACACACACACACACACACACACGCGTATCTAGTGTGAGTTTTAACCCCCGGGTCTAGAACTCAAACCACGGTCAATTATGTGGGAGTCTAGCAATGTACCATTATTCCATCTGCTGGTCCCTGTTACACATTCTTAACAGCAAAAGTTGTCCCAGATGTCATCTTCATCTTAATTTCCTCTTTGCATATGCAGCTGACATTGTCAAGTGACCCATAGGCAACATGATACCATTATAGCTTATGTAGTTCATCTCTGGAGGATGTTCACTCTCACCGTCTTTCTAGAAACATTGAAAACCAGCAAAAGATTGGTTTGGGTCTCCAGTCCTGCCATCTTATTCTCCCACAGAATCCTATCCAATTACTCCTTCAGTTATTCCTTAGTGGTCTACAAGCCCCCTCCTCCCTTTTGAATTTAGACTCTATTGCTGCTAATGTTTCTATTATCACTTCATATGATGATTAATTATAGTTTTGTTCTTAGGATAAATCCAACTGTACCAATCTTTGAGTTCTAGAATGTTTCATATCTCACCTGATCTTGAAACACCCATTTCTCCCTACTTGCTATTTTTTTCTATCCTTCTCTTTGCTCTTCTTTTTTCTGACCATTCTTCAGGCAGGTCTCAATTTAATTATTTCTTCCAGAAAGGCTTCCCCAGCACATACCCTACTCTATCAGATGAAGTTATGTGCCCCCCCACTTAACTTCCCTGTGATTCCAACAGTATCGTTATACCTAACCCTGTAGCATGTAGTCACTCTCTAGGTCCCTTTACTAAAACATAAGCTCCATGAAGGAACAGATTTTCTTGCTCACCTCTGTATTTTCAGTACCTGATACTAAAAGTATTGGATACTGGCTTGTTGATTGAATTAAGAATACACTCGCACATGCACACACATGCATGAAGAAATCCTGAGTTAACAATCAGTCTTTACAAAAAATATTATCGGGAGGCACATGCAGTCTCTTTTCCTCCATTTCTCAGTCCCATCAGGATTTTGGCCATGCCTACACATGTGCCTGCTGTTTTTCAAACCACTGGGGTTGGAATTCAAACTGCAGACAGCTGTGTGCACTGTACTTAATCGTTACGTCATGGGGTTGGCTCCTAATCTTTGTTAGCGATGTAATATTTACTTGGACTTGTCTCTCTGAGTGAACCAAAGACACTTAACAGCAGTCAAAAATTGGTGATAGAAAAGAAACTTGTTCTTTATAGCAGGCTAAAATAAGTGACTCTAAAAACTTAAGGACTAACCTATAATCAAGCTGTTCTCTTTCACTGTCTCTCTCTCTCTCTCACAGACACCACTGGGGGAGTAGGAATGGGAATAAAGTCAAGACGAGGAAAGTCTAGTTGGGGCCAGCTTTACAACAACTAAAACTCTGCCCCCACCCAGGGACAGTGACACAGTGAACATGTCATAAGGTGTAAGTGCCACGTACTGTTCTTAGTGAAGATGTAGATTGCAGTTGAAGTTCTTTTGAAGTACTGTAGGTTAAGAGCATGGCCTTGAGAATCAAAATGCTGAGTTTGGAACCTGGCCAGCTCTATGAGCCGTTTATTTAACCAGTTTGGGTCTCAATTTCCTCTTCTCTTGAGGGTTGTTGGGAGGACGGAATAAAAATCCATGTATAATAATAGACTTAAAACAGTACTGGGCACATAGTAATTTATAAATGGTTGCTGTCGTTAAACGAAATTATGTTATCTGGCGATGAAATAAAAATGGGTCTTGGAGACCTGTCTCTTCTGGAAGAGGGTAATAGTGTATTCTTCAGTGTCAATCCTGCAGGCAGGACCGTACAGTCCCAGGTAATGGGATGAAAGGGAAAGTGGCCATGGGGGGGGAGACGCCTGTGGGTATTTAGGGATAAAAGGACATTTTACAAAAGCAGCTTAGTTGAATTCTTATGTATATGTAAATGGGACCAAACAAATCGGTTACTTTCTTGAGAATAGGAACTAGGTTTTTAACCCTCATTTCTGAAATGGTACTTAGAACACAGTTGATTCTCAAATGTTCCTTAAGTATGTTCATGATTTTCTACCACCACTCCAGGTGTACCATGTGCAGCTGTGAGTTATCTGTGACCTTTTGCACTCTAGTGATACTAACGTGTCCCCTAAGGTCTCCATTACTCCCCCATTTCTCCCTTCCTGCCCTCTACGTTGGCACCAGTCTCCCCATATCAAACCCAGGATGGGTTTGAACTCACCCATGAAAACCAGAGCCAGGCCAGCCTGGAAGTGAGACCAGAAGAATAATACCCCTTAATATCAAGCATAAGCAATTCACATTCCCGTGTTATCAAGAAAATCACTAAAAGAATAAGTGGTTAATTTGATGTTTTCCTTCCAACTTTTCCCTTCTCAATACATTCCCTCAGTACCCATAGGGGATGGGTCCAAGATCCCTCGGATCCCCAAATCAATGAATACTCAAGTTCCTTGTATGAAGTGGCACAGTATTTGTGTATAACACACATGTCCCGGGTACTCTGAGCCATCTCTAGATTACTTAGAATACCTAATACATTGTGAATGGTTGTTATGCTGTATTCCTAAGGGGAGGATTAGGGAAAACAGTGCACATGTTTAGTACAGATGCAACTATCATAAGCCTAACTATGTAATCTATGTATTTTTGATCTGTGGTTGGTTGAATCCACAGATGCAGAACCACAGATACAGAGGGCCAATTACACAGAATAATTGATAGAATCTGAGATTTCAGAGACCAGCGGACCACTTCTTAAACCCATGCGATCCTCCCAATTCAACCTCTAATTATTTTTGTATATCTGTTTTTTAAAATATTTTTGGAAGTGCCATATTTAAGGATCGGTGAAAAGAATCCATTTCTAGGGTCAGGGTGCTGGATTCCCACATGACTGACCATGGTTCGAGTCTTGGCCTTGTCAGCTTCCTTTCTCACTTTCCCTCTGTCTCTCTGTCTCTCTCTGATGAGCACATGCTGCCCTATAGCAAATTTTAAAATAATAATAAATAAAATTAAATAATTTTTTAAAAACAATCTCTTTCTAACATGTGTCCATATGGAAAGGTCAAGTTCGGATCATCTCAAGTAAAGGAAGTAAACCAACCCACTTGATTCTAAACACCTTTTTATCACAAAGTATTTATTGAACAAAAATAATATAACAGTAAAAATGATACATATATGAAAGTGAGAGAAGATTTGCAGTCTTAGAAAAGATGAATACAAAGAGACCAAGGTTCAGGTTATGTTCTATAAAAGGTTAGCCATAGCAGAATAACACTGATCATAATAAATAAAATTAAATAATTTTTTAAAAACAATCTCTTTCTAACATGTGTCCATATGGAAAGGTCAAGTTCGGATCATCTCAAGTAAAGGAAGTAAACCAACCCACTTGATTCTAAACACCTTTTTATCACAAAGTATTTATTGAACAAAAATAATATAACAGTAAAAATGATACATATATGAAAGTGAGAGAAGATTTGCAGTCTTAGAAAAGATGAATACAAAGAGACCAAGGTTCAGGTTATGTTCTATAAAAGGTTAGCCATAGCAGAATAACACTGATCAAGCGAACATATACAAAGGGCTGGGGGGGGGGGAGTTAATTAATGTTTTTTAAAACCTATTTCCTGACTAAAATGCTTCTGTTACAAAAACACGCACAGAATGAGACACAGCTATACAAGTCACACTTCAGTTCCTCCAGATCTCTGTGACAGCAAGTATTTCGACCCCTCCAAAATGGTAGTATTTCTCCATTTCTAATAAATGGATCTGGAGTGTACATTAACCAATTGTAACTGGAGGAAAAGAAAACAAGAGTTAGATTTTTATAGTTGTTGAGATATTTTCAATCAGTGTTTATATTTACAAACAATACTAAAATATTTTTGGTTGAGATTTTTGTATATTAACTTCCTTTAGTGAGTTGTTCTATAAGATTATTGCATTTGGCATGCTTTCTCTTAGCTGACAAAACAACTTTAAGTGCCGTATACGTATCTGTTTTCAGTTTTAACCACACATTCAGTTTGGGGGACAGTAATTAGCGCTAGGCATCAGGGAAGCAGAATTGGGCTGAGCACCAATCCCTGTTCTACGTGCCAGGAGCTGTGTGGCCTTAGGCAACTCCCGGCTTGTCCTGGTCGGGGAACAGGTGGTAGGAAAAACGCTCAATGGCTCCCTCTAGCTCTAACTTTTTGTATTGGGTCGTTGGGAAAGTCCGTGACACATTTTTGCATAGAAAAACACATCATGGCTTTTCCGACCTAATATTTGGTAAACATCAGTTCCCTGAGCCAGCTTCTTGTACTGTAATACAGAATCATCCTTAGCTTATGGGGGGGTGGGGTGGGTGTGTGACAGTAGTGTCTATTTGTGGGTTTGGGAGCCAATCCCTTTAGTCATAGAGGCATATTAAATTGTTTAGGGTTTTTATTTTTTTTCCCCTCCCTCTTAATAAGGGCACACATCCCCACATACAGAGATGCTCCATTCCAGTTGAAAATCTCAAAATTTGTAAGTCTCAATATTTTAGATTGTCCCCCAAATTCAAGAAGTGGGTTTCTAGAAACCTCATTGTTTACCTTCTCTCATAATCCCTGCCATTTAATGTCCAGTTTGGGTTCATTATTCAGTTATGTTTCAAACTGATTTTAGGATTTGGTAGTTTGGTATTATAATTAACCTCATTGTGAACTTAAAGCACTGGGCACTTTCCAGTTCTCTTATCTTGTCTTAGGGCTTGCCTATTTCATGTACAGGTGTGATGCTACTGGAACGATGCCTGCAGAAAGAACAGAAAATGCGTTTCTGTTATTGCAGCTCTAACCTATACTGCACAAGGGCATTTACTGTAGAGTACTCCAAGTAATCCATTCAGTTCCACAGTGATGACCTTCCCGAAGAAATTGTTTTTCACCAGATTTTCTTCATTCTCACCATGAATTTAGTAGTACAGAAAGTACTATATCCTACTTCTGAATTTCTACGTGCAAGTCCTTCAGTATCGCCAGTTCTCTGTTTGATGGCATTTTTTTTTTTAATCCACTAAAAATGGTGACTACTACCTAAGCACACGATGATACCTGGTGTTACAAAATTGTTTGTTGTTTGGATTCATCACCAGTCTGAGCCTTTTCCAAAGCATTCGATTTTTAAATGTCAGTTGTTCCAAGATTTAGAAAAACCCTCATCAGACAGACACAGTAAATATATCAGATAGGTATGATTCTCTATGGAAGATGGGAGAGCCAGGACTAATTTCTTGAAAAAAGAATATGTTCTAACCTAGGAAATATTCCAAGGTCTTGAACAGCATGAGCTGGATGCAGCTTTTCTATCTCAGATTTTTGGAAAAAATCTAATGATACTATAAACCACTAGGAGGCTAGACCTCCATAGTTACTTTTTTTTTTTTTTAATGCACTTTAGAAGAACATTTTCTTTTGTGAATGTTTATTGTCTAAATATGGCTTAGTTTGCTTATAAAAACATTACTTGGACATTACATTTACTGAATTTCAGTTAAAAAGAGGTTCTAAGGCAATTCTTATACAACCGAAAGCAAAAAAAGGAAAAGTGGTATGAATCTGCTTTCATATCTCCCACTTGTGAAAAGTAATGAAATTTTTACTAGAGAGCTGTTTGATACTGATTTTTGTCTTTCAAACATTTTTTCTTAGTACTAGAAAATATATAAATCATTTACATAAAACTAAATGCCAAGGAAGGCACAGCTGGCTATAGTGTATATAAGCACAGTTCAGCATATGCAGAATTATAGCAAAAAAAAAAAAGCTTCACATCCTTATTAGTTATACTGAAAACATTAAGAAAAGTTCTTCACTGTCAACAGTGTTCAACACTTATGAGCTAAGAGGATATAAAAAAAAACATTAAGATTCACTTAATGCAAAACAGATTTCCTTATATATTTGAATATATAAAAAAAAACAGTTTTGAAAATGCTAACATAAACCTAGACTATCCATGTTATGAAAAGTGCAACCAAATTAACAGAGGGTTTCACAACGTCCTTCTCATGACACAGGTAAACTAGCCCATGAGGACAAATTTGCTTCATCAGTTAATGAGTCCTTAGTTGTGGTCAGTCGTCATCAGGATTTCTGAGAGTTGGAAGAAAGCAATACTGGAGAAGCAGCTCTGTCCAGACTGGAGAGTGGCACTGGCATGTGGCCGTTAAGCAGTGTGGGGAACTGTATGGGAACAAAAGATTTTTAAAATAGTTACTACAAATCCTTCAGGAAGAACCTGGGTTCTTACACATTCTCAGACCATAATAGCTCAGTTTTCTTATCCCTGCTGTCATGGAGGTCAGTTGCCAATGTATTTTACACTGGAAGATGACAATGAGATCAAGATGACACAAAACTAACAGAAATTAATGCCGAGAAAATGTCCCTAGTTTTTCTATATGCTTAGGCTACTTAAAAAATATAAAAATAAAAATAAAAGTATATGTTGCTAAAGCATTTCTCTAATACACTATTTTTAAAGTTATCCAATTTTAGTTATCCAATTTGTATCATTTTTTAAATTTGCTATAGGGCATGGGCGCTTACAGAGAAAGAGAAAGTGAGAAAGCAAGCCACCAGGTGTGGAACTTGAACCACAGTTGGCCATGTGGGAGTCCAGAGCCTTAACCACCATGCCACCTGCTGGCCCCCTCTAAAACTATTTTTAAAAGATTCTAAGGTACTTAGAATGTTGATTTGCTTTACCTATTAAGAAAAAGGGTTTTTTTGAAAACGAGGTTTTTAACATGTGAGCCAGTAATTTCTTCCTTTTTTTGAGAGAGAGTTTTGCTATAGGGTATGTGTGCTTGCCAGGGACAGAGACAGAAGGCAAGAAATCACCCCTGCCTATGAGGGATGATGGCCACACCACAATCCCTTCTCCTCCATTCTCCTCTCAGGATCTTGGGCACGCACGCACATGCGCCCAGCGTGAGTTTTTAAGCCACCGGGTCCGGGAAGCGAACCACGATCACTACCAGTGACATAGCCATTATGCTAACTGCTGGTCCCCTGGGACTAGGATTTGAGCTCTAGTCAGCCACGTGGGATCAGGCGCCCTTAATTAACCATTAGGCCACACAGCCAGTCTAGGGAGTATCTTTACTGTTTCAGTTTCTTCAGTGGTTATTGGCATAATCAAGGTTTTTATTCTTTTCTGACACTTTGGAATTTTTATTTGTTCCAGAAGTTTATCTACTTCAACTGAGTTATTATATCTATTTGCATATATTTATACTCTTACTTAAGATCTATACTTCCAACTAGTATTCCCACTGACTTAAACACTAGAAGAAGAGCAGGCTTTGCTTTTTCATTCTTTAGTTTATTTGCATTTTCTCCCTTTCGGGTTTTTGTCCATCTTATTGATGTTTTCCAAAGATTCAGCTTTGGTTCTGCTAATCTTTCCCTCTTTTTAAAATAAGTCACTGCAGGCTGGATGGTGGTGGGACAGTAAAACACACTCTGGAAAGCTGACGTACAAGAAGGTTCCAGTTCACATCCGGAGACCTCCCTGAGTGTGGTGGGCACAAGCATGCTTGTGATCCTGGGCCGGCTGAGGCTGGGGGTAGATTATGACATCAAGACCCTGTCTGGAATGCCGTCTCTGTCTCTCTCTGGCACACGGAAGAAATAAAGTTTAAAAAATAATAAATGACATCTGCCATTGCTCTATTTCTGTACTCTCAGTTGCCATAGCTTCTCTTGATAAGCCTGGGTTTTCTGGCATGTTACTTGAGTCTTCATTGGCTCTTCTTCCACCATCCCCCCCCTTTTTAGAATTATTTAAATTTATTTATTTATTTATTTAAATTTGACCAGAGAGAGAGAGAATGAGGGAGGCAAAGTGAGGAAGCAAGCTACCAGGTCTGGGACTTGAACTGCTGTTGGCCATGTGGGAGTCCAGCACATTAACCACCACACCACCTGCTGGTCCCTTTCTTAAATGCAGTACTCCCTCAAACTTTTGTCCTTTGCTGTCTTTTCACCAGTACTGGGCCTGGACTTGACAACCATTTCCATTTTAGAAGTATGCCTATAGTAAATCCTGGAAAAAGGTATGTAATTGGAAACATATATTACATTATTCATTCCAAATTTACTGAGTTCTCATTATATTTTATGCTCTAAGTTGTAAAAATAACAATTATAAATAAAATACAATAACTCCTGCCCATGTGAAACGTAGCATTGAAATATTTTAAGCTCACTAACTAGATACTAGTATTGGGACCAGCAGATAGTGTAATGGTTACATGGCTGGATTCCCACATAGTCGACTGCAGTTTGAGTCTCAGACTCTGTGGTTTAAAACTCATGCAAGGTGCATGTGCATGCATGCCCAAAATGCCAAGAGGAACATTGAAGAGAAGGGATTGTAAGCATGACTATCCTCCCTGGGGTGATTTCTCACTTTCTGTCTCTTTATGTGTCTCTGCGAGCGCATGTGCCCTATAGCAAAATCTCTCTGGGGAAAAAAAAAAAGTATTGAGAATATCAAATGGAAAGCCATAAAAATGTCTGGCACAAGTAAGCCCTTAATAAATGTTAACTGTGAGACCAGCAGATGGCATAATGGCTATGTTGCTGGACACCAATGTAGTCGACCATGGTTTGAGTCCCAGACCCAGTGGCTTCAAACTCATGCCGGGCGTGTGTGCGTGCATGCCCAAGATCCTGAGAGGAGAACAGAGGAGAAGGGACTGTGGTGTGGCCATCCCCCATGAGGGGTGATTTCTCACTTTCTGTCTCTCTCTGTCTGTCTCTGTCTTTCTGGCGAGCGCATGTGCCCTTTAACAAAAACCTCTCCAAAATAATTAATTAATCAATTAATTAATGTTAACTGTTATTAGCATTCCAGTCTTCGTAATCCTTGCCTCTTCTTTCCACTACCTATTTACTCTTCAAACCTAACTCAAAGTCTTCTCCTCAGTCTTACCTCTGAAGGGTTTTCTAGCTATATTTAATACTCGCTATTCTAATCTAAAAGATGATTTGCCCCTCACTATTTGGAGAGATGTAGTACTTGCCTCCTAGCTTTCTTCCCCTTCCACTTTGTCTTCAGTTCATCTTCCACACTGACTTCAGGGATATTTTTCTAACATAGACATCTCCTCTCCCTTTTTCCATCTCGAACAGCCGTAACAACACTTAACCACAGAGGAAGGTGGGAACTCCTGACCGTACTACTCGAGGCCCAGCGCTGCTTTCCCATCTTGCTCTCCTGTCACCTGTAGTTCCTTCCTGAAGACGATGTACTTTCAGGTCCAAACCATGCAGCTCTGGAGACTAAAATGTGCCCTAGTCTCTATCCAAATCCTGCCCCTTCTTCCCAGCTCAGTTCGGGGCCTTTGTCAGTTCCCAGCTGGAAAGAGCCACCCTGCCCGGTTCCTGCTGTGTTTTGTTTATACATCTGTTAATCACATAAAGTATACTGCTATAGTCCCTGCCACAGAGCATTACAAATATTTGCTGGTTTGGATTTGTTGAATTAAAAATGACAGCACACGTTATTAACTGAAATCTAAATTAGCTCTACCTTGTTCCAATACTTACCTGTACCTACGAGGTATATCCCACATTTAATCACAATCTATTTCAAAAGCTGTGGTGGGAGCTGGACTTATAGCCTAGTGGTTAAGAGAGTCAGCTCCCACATGGCTGACCACAGTTCAAATCCTAGTCCTAGTGGCTTGAAAAACATGGTGGGAACACGGATATGCTCAAAATCCCAACTGGATGGAGAAATGGAGAAGAGATTGTGGCTGAATGGTGCCCCATTGGGGGTTGCTTTCTTCCTCCTACTGTTCTCTCAAAAGTGTGCATGCCCTCTGGCAATTAAAAAAATATTGTGGTGCAACAGATACCTTGTACACTGCTCAAAGAGCCAAACCGTCCTGTTGAAACAGAGGTTTTACTGTATTTGTAAATCAAAGTTCCATATTGACACTTAGCTCACTGTCTGGCAGCTCGCTCTTCACTGAAACATTTTTCAACCACAGAGTATACCTCTCCCAGAAAGGCTGTTTTTCCTCTTTCTCTGAAATTCTTGACTGTCTGCTATTACCTACTATGATAATTGCATCATGAAATCTTCTGCGTAAAAACTCAGCTCTGTCAACTCCAGCCCTAATGATCTAACTCTCCGATCATCACAACAGGAAACTTGCTAATAAAACATCACAGGGCAAGCTTTTTTTTTCTTCTTCTTCTTCTTCCAACACATTTATAGCATATATAAAAGTTTTATTTTTTTCTGAAAGAACATGATTTTTGTTAGTTCAAAAGGGACACTTGATAGTTATCTGAATTCTGAAAAAAAAAAAAAAGCTATCAATTGTAACGTCAAGTCTTGAAAATCAAAGTAGTATTCCTCTTACTGTGTTTGGTAGTTTTTCATTTTTAAACTGCCATTTTCAACTTTTACCACACTCAACTGCTTTTTTTCAGAGGAAGAGTAATCATGGTTTTAAAAGTTTACAATTGTTTTTCCTTAGTCTCATAGATCTACCACAGTGAGAGGACCCAGGGCCATGCAACCTTAAAAACCACCCAGTCTGGGTTATGTGTATTTTTTTTCAGGGGTGTATTTTGAATTGCTCCAAGAAAGAGAAAAAGGTCTTGATGATATTAAATTTAAAGCTCTAAGCAGATAGCCTTTAAATGCAGTCACTTCTTCGGCAGAATTGCTACATATAAACTAGAAACCTGGTCTGCAGTGGTTCTCAAAGTGTGGATCCTGCATTAGCAGCATCACTAGGAACGTGAAAGAAATGTTCTTAGTAGGCACTATCCCAGACCTACTGAATCTGTGGGAGGTGCAGCCCAGCAATCTTCATTAGCACACCTTCCAGCTGATTCTGTTGCCCACTAATTTGGAGAACCCCTGGCCTATAATAGTGACCACCTCTCAGCTCCCAGAGACCTTAATCACGCGTATAGTCACTGTGGACATGAACCTTCGTTGCTGTTCATACTATTGGGCTGGAAAAAATTGGTATCTAGATGGTGTAATGGTTACATCACTGGACTCCCATGTGGTCGACTGAGGGTCAAGTCCTGGACCTGGTAGCTTACACATCATGCCGGGCGTGTGTGCTTGTGTGCCCCAAATCCTGAGAGGTGACTGGAAGAGAAGGGATTGTGGCGTGGCCATCTTTCCTGGGGACTGATTTCTCACTTTCTGTCTCTGTCTTTCTCTTTTTCTCTTTGGTAAGCACACACACCCTGTAGGAAAAACCTCTCAAAAAAACATCAAAAATAATTGCTATCAAATTGCTTCAGGGAACCTGAAGAAGCCTCAGTCAAAAGTTTTCAGGGCTTTCATAGGAGATCATCAAACTGCACCAGTCAGGTGGCAAGATTCCCAATAAAGAGGAAAATGAGAGTCCATCATTCATTATTCACAAACACCCACTGAACACGACAGAAGCTGTATGTTAGAGTCTGGGGTTAGTGCTGCAGTCCCTACGCTCCTGTAGCCACACAACTCCTTTCTCTGCTAATCTTGACATTTTCAGGAAATGAGGTCTTTTATCCCCCCCATCTAAAGCATTTTGAGTCTAAAACTTCCCAGATACTACGTTTGCTCATTGCTTTTTGCTCCCTATTTCTAGTTTTCGTTTCCCTGCCTGAGTTAAAATGGTTAAAACTCAACAAACATGTTGGCTCCATAACCATCACTCACTTTCTTATGGTGGGATTAAGAGCCAGGGGAGAGAAAGAAACCCGATTACTCCAACGATACAGTCATATGACACCCAACTCCACTCTCACCAGGAAACCAGAGAAACAAGATGGCAATCCAAAACCCCTTTAGCACCACCCTTCCTCCAAGGAGAGCCCAAGCTCCAGCATGGACAGCCCCTAGCAAAGGAGAAGTACTCAGCGAATACTAACCTGGGACAAGCAGAACGACTCAGAAGAGCATGGGGACTTGATCTTTTTAACACTTTACTTTCTTAGACATCTCTGTGTGAATTCCTAGGCATCTCTGTATACATTCTGTGGCATTTGTTCACTTAGTGGTAATCTCAGCACCGTTTATGTACAAAGCAATGTTCCGATGCTGGGGGCCAACACAGTGAACAGCACACAGTTCCGGTCTCTTCAAAGCCCACCCGCTACTGGGAGAATATTGCCAGATAATACAGAGTGTGAAGTGGTAGATGCAGAAGTCAAAAGATTGCAGCTTGCTTGGGGTAAAGCCACCTGGGGGAACAGGATGCCGGGTGGATGACACAGGCTAGAGTAAGAGAAAGAGGGAGCCTGCACTGTGTCCATTTTTACTTTATGCCTGTCCCCAGGAACTCTCTCCCTAAATGCACATATTCAAAGAGTAACACCTTGGCCCGTGAGTATCAATCTCTGGGTCTCTAAGAGAAAATACTGATTTCCACGTGATACAAGTGATGCTAGCGCAAGATTCTAGGGTGTGAATGAATAATGAATGTGCTCACCTCGTACAGAGAGTCCTGCAAGATAAAGCAGTTCGGTCTTCATTATTTTTTAACCAAGGCCTTGGATTCTCTTTGTAATACATTTTATTATGGAACAAGAAGAACCTGATTATGCTTCATTAGAATTATACAGGTAACTTCTCTCTTAGGATGGATAAACAGTTCAGTATTTTTATATTTCAGATGAGTTGCTACACTAATAGGATTGTTATTTTAAAGTCTCTTATGAGCATTTATAAAAAAAATTTTTCAAATTCTGCCATTTCCTTAATACATTTCCAATTTACAAAATCAAATGAAAATATTCCAAGAACCATTGAGTCGTCGGAAAAGTCATGACATATTTTTGCACAGAGAAAAACACACCATGACTTTTCTGACAACCCAATACTTGTTGTAGTATGGGTATCTGTCAAGGGTATACCATTTGTGCCTCAAGGAAAATGCCTGCTTCTGAAAGGGTGTACAGCCCCCACTGACATGAAGTCGGTGGTACCTGTCAGGATGTAGACAAGAAAACATCCCCACGAAGGTCAGGGTTGAAAGTTCATTCCTCGATGTTTACCTGGAACAGCGTGTTGGGCCCTTGCAGCCTGGCAGGACTCAGCGGAGCAACTGGACTGAGGCTGCTCCAGAAATGTATGCTGGACAGCAGTGGACTCGGGGTCAGAAGCAGTCCATTTGGTGTCTGGGAAATAAAGCAAATAGATAGTTGGTTTTTTTTAGAAGTTTTTGCCTTAGAGCATATGCTCTCACTAGAGAGACAGACACAGTGAAAGGGAAAGTGAGAAATCACCCCCCACGGGGATGGCCGTGCTGCAATCTTTTCTCTTCCATTCTCCTCCTGTGATATTGGGCACACACACACATGTGCCCGGCATGAGTTTCAAGTCACCTGGTCCAGGATTTGAACCGCACTCAGCCACGTGGGAGTCCAGTGACGTAACTGCGATGCCATCTGATGGTCCTAGACAGTTTTTTTTTTTCTTTTTGAGAAGTTTTTGCTATATGGCCCGTGCACTCTCCAGAAAGAGAGAGAAAGACAGACAGAAAGCAAGAAATCCCCCCCCAGGGGGGATGGCCATGCCACTATCCCTTCTTCTCCATTCTCCTCGTGGGATCTTGGGCACACACGCACATGTGTCCGGCATGAGTTTAAGTCACCGGGTCCAGGACTTGAACCACAGTCGGCAACATGGGAGTCCAGTGACGTAACTGCGATGCCATCTGATGGTCCTAGACAGTTTTTTTTTTTTTTTGAGAGTTTCGAGAGAGAAAGACAGACAGAAAGCCAGAAATCCCCCCCCAGGGGGGATGGCCATGCCACTATCCCTTCTTCTCCATTCTCCTCGTGGGATCTTGGGCACACACGCACATGTGTCCGGCATGAGTTTAAGTCACCGGGTCCAGGACTTGAACCACAGTCGGCAACATGGGAGTCCAGTGACGTAACTGCGATGCCATCTGATGGTCCTAGACAGTTTTTTTTTTTTTTTGAGAGTTTCGAGAGAGAAAGACAGACAGAAAGCCAGAAATCCCCCCCCAGGGGGGATGGCCATGCCACTATCCCTTCTTCTCCATTCTCCTCGTGGGATCTTGGGCACACACGCACATGTGTCCGGCATGAGTTTAAGTCACCGGGTCCAGGACTTGAACCACAGTCGGCAACATGGGAGTCCAGTGACGTAACTGCGATGCCATCTGATGGTCCTAGACAGTTTTTTTTTTTTTTTGAGAGTTTCGAGAGAGAAAGACAGACAGAAAGCCAGAAATCCCCCCCCAGGGGGGATGGCCATGCCACTATCCCTTCTTCTCCATTCTCCTCGTGGGATCTTGGGCACACACGCACATGTGTCCGGCATGAGTTTAAGTCACCGGGTCCAGGACTTGAACCACAGTCGGCAACATGGGAGTCCAGTGACGTAACTGCGATGCCATCTGATGGTCCTAGACAGTTTTTTTTTTTTTTTGAGAGTTTCGAGAGAGAAAGACAGACAGAAAGCCAGAAATCCCCCCCCAGGGGGGATGGCCATGCCACTATCCCTTCTTCTCCATTCTCCTCGTGGGATCTTGGGCACACACGCACATGTGTCCGGCATGAGTTTAAGTCACCGGGTCCAGGACTTGAACCACAGTCGGCAACATGGGAGTCCAGTGACATAGCCATTATGCCAACTGCTGGTCCCGACAGTTCTTTATATAGGTTAGCCTAACCAGCCAGGATCAACACAGCATAGAGTGGGTGGGTGCGCTAGCCAAGGACCAAGAAAGGAATTCCACCACCTCAGAAAAAGCTGGCACCTTGACTTCCGTCAGACTGTGGACGGGTTCATTTACCTCAATGCTAATTGTATTAGCAGTTCTATGAAGGAAAGGGGAATTGACAAGCAGGCTTTCCTAAACATTCAGGTGGAAAACCAGAGTTTGTAGCAACTTTGGTCGAAATGGTTTCTTCAGCCTGCTCCCTGTGCCGGATTAAATGAGATTTAGTATATGAGCAAAATGCAATCCCATGAATGGGCTGTATTTCTTCTTATCAAGGTTTGATTTTTCTACACATTTAAAAATAGCCTTCCGATTGTTACTTTCTCTGTCAACTGCCCTTTAATAGTTTCAGATCTGCTGTTAAAATACCCCACAGTAACTTCTTGAGAGGCTCTGGGCTGGGTTTTCCACACTTCCCTCCAGACACGGGTTGATGAGATCCATCGCCTTGGTAATGGTTGCGGGGAGGGGGCGCCTTTCTTGTCAGAGTGGGGGGAAAGCCAAAACTCCGGGTTTCCCAGGACAGTGCCAAGGACTGCATTTGCTTGCACACACACGGCAGGAGTCCTGGCGCGAGCCAGCTAAGGGACAGAAACAACAACTCTCTGGGCTGGTAAGTCTGCATGGCTTTTCTTCTCAGCTCAGGCAGACTGCGGTGCACGGTGGTTTTGCACCTCGGATGACTAGAAGGAGCCCCACAGCAGTTTTGTGATGTCAATAAGGTGCTTTGTGTAGCGCGAACCACACTAAAGCACCAGCGTTTCTGATTGCATCATGCGGAATGCTAACGTGTTATTTTTTCCTAGAATTGGCCTCCACAGCTTCATTAATTATCAAGAGCACTTGGCTCCAACCTAAATTGAAAGGCCTGCTCTGTTCATTAGAATGGAGACAAATATCCAAAGGTTCTCAAACTGTGAAGCTGCTGAAAGGTAAACAAACTTCGACCAAATTATTTGAGTCGTTGGTTCCACGGCATTTCCTACACAGTGGATGACCTGTGAGGTTACTCAGATAAATATGTGTTTTGAATAAGCTTCCCATTTGTTCTAATCCAAGGCAATTTCCCGAGTGTGCCAGGCCATCTGGTCTAACCGTTAAGAATTAACGCTCAGCAGGATCTCTGCCAGGGATCCAGTCTCTGAATCACTGCTTCGTAGCTAGGTATGCTCGGGCAGGCAATGTAACCTCTTCCTGCCTCAGTTTCTTCATCTATAAAATGTTACATGACAGGGTTGTTGGGAAGATCAACAAGATGATCTTTCTAAAGCTCTGAATATGTGCCGGGCACATAGAAAGGCTCTCCAAGTGTGACACACGGCTATCAGGTTAAGTAGTAAGTACGTGTTTTTGCATGAAGGAAGGAATTAGTAATGAATTAAAAGTGGACCTGACTTGGCGTGCCCCCATGGCCTTGTGGTTAAGGAAGCTGTGGTTCAAGTCCCAGTGGCTTGGAAAGCATGCCCGCCACATACATGTACCAAAAATCTCAATGGTGAAATAGGGGAGAGGGGATCCTGGTGGTGTGACCATGCCCCAGTAGGGAGGGCTTTTTCTCTCCGTGTGTCTCTCTCTGCCAATTAAAAAAGAAGCTATACTTACTAACTGTATTTCATCTATTCACGGGAGGAATTCTCACCTGCATATAGAAAAGCAGTGAACGCTCTGAAACCTACAAACTCAGTTGAGTCAGTTGGTTCTTTAAGGCTCTTCTCAGCTGTGTCAGGCTTACGTCCACAAGTTCAGGTGATCTGAGAACTAATATTTGCACGGTACTCTGGAGCCGAGTTCCAAACACAATATGTCATATTAACATTTAATGACCGGTGTGTTCAGGGACTCAGTGAAGAGTCACAAAGCTCTAAAGAGACCATGAATCTTCTAAACCACAGAGCATAGCTATCCTTTTCTCCTTGGTGGCCATAAATACACGCCCATTTCTTTTTAATCCTCAGAGCAATTTCTAAGATATAATTTATATTTCCATAGCCTGAAATTTGTACACGTGTCTGAATTTGAGGTGTTTGCACATTTGTTTTGAAGGGATACAAGATGTATTCAGAATACAGTAGCCTTCTGTTTCTCCGATTTAATATGTCTGAAATGTCTTCTATAATTTATGCAAATAAACATTACAAAATGACTTTACTGGCTCCTCCCCCTCCTATCCCGCCTGCTCTTCCTGAAGATCTTGTGGCCTTAGAAAACTGTTTGTCTTTTTTTTTTTTTTTGAGAGTTTCGTTCATTTGTTTTTTGCTACAGGGCATGTGTGTTTGTCAGAGAGACAGAGAAAGAAAGCAAGAAATTAGCCACCACACACACACCAGGGGGAATGACCACATTGCAATCCCTTCTCCTCCACTCTCCTCCCAGGATCTTGGGCACACACGCACACATGCCTGGCGTGAGTTTTTAAGTGTCTGGGTCCAGGACTTGAACTACAGTCAGCTACGTGGGAGTCCAATAACATAACCATTACGCCATCTGCTGGTCCCTGTGGTGGTTTTTTGCAGGAAAGTTCCTGTAAAGTCTGCCTTGGGTTATCCGCAGGACAGCGTGGACTTTCATTGGCTCTCTCCTCTTGCTTGTGGAGTTAGGGCAGGCCACGCCTGCGGGGTAAGAGCTAAAGAAAGACGTCAGAAGCGAAATGCCTGCTTCCTTTCCCGTCACCGAGACGTGCCTCTCTTAACCAAGGGGCTAGGAAGCACCTGGTCCCCTAGATGCCAGGGA